GTTCTCTTTATTTGAGATTTCACACATTTTTACAACATCTAAGATGCTCCTCAGGAATGAACCCCCAGTGGGTCCTCACATAAGCTTATCAAGCGACATCTCTCCAAAGAAGTCAAAGAAGTTTATCATATCAGTCTATCTTTATTTAAGGAGACATACATTACAATTCAACTGGTCCACATCTCTTCCAAAGATCCCCGGTGAAACTTTACAACTACATTTACAAATTCACGACTACAGCTACAAATTATATCAACAACAATCACATATGAAGTTCTACAATGAACTACATTTACAGTCTACAACGACAACTACACATTACAATGATTCTACAATCTACAAATTTTTCAACATTTCAATCAAAAACTGAGACCAGCTCATGGTTCCCATATCATGACGCTCGGGGAGGTCATACATCAGATACTGAGACCAGCTCATGATTCCCATATCATGACGCTCAGGGAGGTCATACATCAGAGACTGAGACCAACTCATGATTCCCATATCATGATGCTCGGGGAGGTCATACATCAGAGACTGAGACCAGCTCATGATTCCCATATCATGACGCTCGGGGAGGTCATACATCAGAGACTGAGACCAACTCATGATTCCCATATCATGACGCTCGGGGAGGTCATACATCAGAGACTGAGACCAGCTCATGATTCCCATATCATAACGCTCGGGGAGGTCATACATCAGAGACTGAGACCAGATCATGATTCCTATATCATGACGCTCGGGGAGGTCATACATCAGAGACTGAGACCAGCTCATGATTCCCATATCATGACGCTCGGGGAGGTCGTCCGTCAGAAACTGAGACCAGCTCATGGTCCCCATATCATGACGCCCGGGGAAGTTTTACATTTTACTATTTCCAGTTGAATGATAAAAGAAAAGAAATATGAAACAAGACTGAATTGTGTCCCAATCAAGAAATCCATTTGGACTATTACCGGCCACCACAGTTTGGTAGTAAATTTATCCTTCGATCACAAGTTTCTCTCCTATTGTCCAAATCACCATATCCCGGGTGTATGAGGTACTGTTATACTTTGGAGATTCCCCATTGGTGGTTGTTTCCTGTCCTCGTGTGGTCCCGCCTTATTGGGTCTGTTGCTTCTTTGTTTCACGTGTTGTGTCTAGTTCATCCCCTGTGACATCTTTTCTTCACAGGACCGTCTGTCTTGCATTTTCATATCATTGCTTATCATTTGCATTTGGTGGCTTCTTACGGCCAAAAATACGTGCTATGCTTGTACTTAAGTCCCTCCTATCTCGTCGCGACGAAGATTTCAATCTCCATATCTCCGGATAGAAGTAACTTAAATAGGGGCATCTGTCACACCCTAATTTTTGACCATAAGATTCCACCTCCTTGCGCTTTGTCTTACGTGTTACCTTTTACCTTTTATATGTTTATTATAACTAACCAGTTGGTGCAGGTGCGATAACACCAAACATAGATCCTTACAGTCAAATACCACAAGGCATTTTTTTTTTGGTTTCAAATGGAGCGGGTGTCCACTCTCATGGTTAAATACTCTAAAGTTCGATCAACAAGTCTCAAGGGACTTTGTGTTTGTCTCGAGGATAAATAAATTTTCTGATAATTGGTTTTGAGCACGACCGTCTAAGGGTTGGTCGTGGCTTTCATAGCAAGTTGTATCATAGTTGTATTATTACTTTCAGAAGACTCTTCATGACATGGTTAGCGCCTCATGATTCATCATCGTCCAAGTCTTGGGTTATGCGGGCAACACATGGCAAGCAGGGATAGTTTTGTTCATAAAATTGAGTTATCACAATTAGCAAGAAGTTAAGATGGAATTCATTATCGCGTGCCTTACAAATACCTAACCGATCCTTTGTTCAAAATCAAATGACGATGTCTTTTACTGGTTATATGGAGATTCAACTTCACCGTGAATATGAACTTAAATTTAAGTGATTTACACCATGTTTGAACTCTAAGACTCAAGGTTGATTAATTAAGCCTAATTAATTCTAAAGCCTCAGGATTGCAAACTTGGATCTTTTTAAGGATATTTGAAGTTCCGTGAAGCATCAAGGTATTTGCAACAGTGTCATACTTTAATCTCAATCTTAAAGCATGGAAGTTTAATGCTCAAGTTCATTCAGTTGGGATGGCAACATCATTAAGGAATTTCCAAAGCAAGAGAAACCATCGTGTTCACAAGAAGAAGTATGTATTTATTCCGGTGGAACCTCAAGCAAACATCGTAAAACTCGATCTAATCGTGCACCCCACGACACACTCACTCTCACACACTTCAGCGCTTTCATGCGTATGCGTATGGCTTTATCATTTCCGCAATTTATTTTACAATAATTTACATTATCATAATTTATTTCATCGCATTGCATCCGTCCAAAGGAAAATCCTACACATGATTCAACAATCGTGTGTAGTGCACTCACATTTGCATCATTCTCCCCTCGATCCTTGATCCCATTCAAGTCGATCACTTAAGATAGATCCTACCCCATAGGAGGACCTTGTCTTTTATCTTACAACATAGAAACAAAAACAATCAACTCAATATTCAAACATTCAACAACTCAATACAACTTTATTCAAACACAATAGAGAAAAGATGCCAAATCATCTTAAGTGAGATAGAACCTCCACCCCACAACAATACAATCAACATGTAGGGACTTTGCCTTAAGAGAGATAAAGGTGTACCTCGTTGATCCCTATTCGAGTACGTAAGTCCTTTTCTTAAGACGATGCAAAGACTATTTTCCTACAACTTGTGGCGGTTAAATCTCCCTTAAAATGATAACGCATCTTGTCTCCTAAAATCAATCAAACAACTACCCTAAACCCGTAGGAACTTTGACCACAGTCAAAGAACTCCTCAAACCCTTTAGGGGAACTACAAATACTCTGATTCCGTTCCCGTAAGGATATGTAGGCATAGGATGCGACATCTTATCGAGTATACTTAGATAATAAACCCCTAGGTCTTTAAACCTTAAGCAGATAAACACTTAGCAATAAACAATATAAAACAAGAGGTTCCTGTAGAGTACTACAGAAACTTAGGATGCTAGCATCTTCCCTAAGTTTAACCAACCCCCGAACCTAAAACTCTCTAAACCTTGCATTTGCATTACATCGTGGATATTTCGATCTTTATCCCTTCCTTTGGAAAAATCAAAGTTCGGTTTCAAAATGAATTAAAGATTCAAACTAATCAATAGTTTGGTATCCGATTTTCACCGCGACAAATACCAGTCTAATCCTGAGAATGATCATTGGATTGCGGCTAAGAAAGTGATGAGATATTTGCAGAGAATTAAAGAGTATATGCTTGTTTTTAGGAGAGTTGACAACTTGGAAATAGTTGGGTATACTGACTCTGATCTTACTGGGTGTGCTGATGATAGGAAATCTACTTATGGTTATAGTTTATTGTTGGCTGGAGGTGCGATATCATGGAAGAGTAAAAAGCAAACTCTTGTCGCCTCTTCTACTATGTAGGCAAAGTTTGTTGCTTGTTATGTTGTTGTCACTCATGATGTTTGGTTAAGAAATTTAGTGACTGGACTTCGTATTGTTGATTCCATTGCAAAGCCACTAAAGTTTTATTGTGATAATAGTTCAGCTGTATTTTACTCCAAGAATAATAAAACTTCTAGAGGTTCTAAGCATTTGGAATTGAAGTATTTGACAGTCAGAGATTTTGTAAAGATAAATGACACCGTTGTTGAGTACATTGGTACTAATTTCATACTAGTTGATCCCCTAACTATGGGACTTAGGCCCATTGTGTTCAAAAATCATGTTGAGAGCGTGGGCAATGTGAGTTCTTTTGATGTACTATGTTAGTGAGAGTTTGTTCTTTATGTCATTTTCTTATCATGTTATATTTTATTTTGGACACTTTAAGTGTTGGATTGTCAAGTATTTTCTATTTTAAGCAGTTGATATTCTTCTTCTTCTTCTTCTTCTTCTTGGAGATGAGGCATTATGGTTTGTAAAACCATACAATTTCTTTGGCTTTAATGCATTTGAGAGAAATTGTTAAGAACTGACAAAGAAAATAGCAGTTGGATGTTGGATCACTTTAGCATGTTATTTTCTTGCCACACTCCACACTGATGACTAGTTGACGGAGTATGTAGTATTTGTAACCACAGAAAGTTTTATGTCAATGAATGATATAATAATCAATACTGCTTGACTTTTGTTGGATGAAGTCATATTCAGATACTGCACCTAGAATCATGCATTTCCTTAAAATGCAGCTGTATTTTAAGGAATTAGTCATTAACCCGAGAGTCGTTTTCAAAATGTATTTTAAAATAAAAATCATACAATTGATTTTGCCCAAGTGGGAGAATGTTAGATTTATCTAAAAATTTTTATGGGCTACAATCAATTGTGGTTTAGTTTGTGAAAAATGGGTTAATCGTGATTCTAATAGGGGTGCATATATAAGCCTTTTTATTAATTAAGCGATTATTTTTAACTAATGGCTGAATATCTGAAAACTAATTAGGGTGGGTAAAAGTGTGGGCTTTAAACTTGAACTCATAATAGGTAGGAACTAGGATTATATATATTATATGACTAGGTCCCCTATGTAAGAGAATAAAAAACATAGCTGATAACTCCACAACTTGACCCATTAAGAGTTGTGAACGAGAGTGTAAAAATACAGAGATAAATTTTTCCGCTTACAGTTTCTCCTTCTACCAAATCCCTAACATGGCTTGTTGGTTTTCCTCTCATCTTTTACCAATTTTCCCAGTCTGAGAATTAATTAATCTCAGAACTATACCCTATAGGAACTCTCTGTCAAAGTTAAGAAAATAATAACTAAAATTCAGGAATTTATATTTATCTACTCAACACCAGCATTTGTTACTTGTTACGTTTCCTGCAAATCACCGAACAACCTATGATTTTGCTTAGTGAGGATGAGATTTTAACTTCATAACAATTGTTCAAACTAAAAAACCTATATTTTGCTTAGTGAAGATGAGATTTTGCTTAGTAAGGATGGGATTTTAACTTCATAAACAGCTTGACTGTCCTGGTAATATTCACTGATCCACCCTTGTATTAGTTTGATCTCGGCGGCCCTTTGATTAACCAACCAATCAGGATCATTTTTAGTTGAAGCACGTAAATCTATGTGGTGTGCACCTGAGAATATAAGGAGAGAAAAAATCAGTACAGAATCCATGCAGCATACATGTAACAGATTCTAAATAATCAAATGTTTTACCTTCTTTGGTGACCAGAGAAACAATACTTTCTGAAATATCCTGCAAAACACTGCAACGGATGGAACAATTTAAATATCAGAATTTGAATATAAAACATATAACCACGAAAAACAAACGCGGTTACGACACTGACACGTCTACGCCGATAATAATTTTAAAAAGTTAGTTAATTGAATGGATTTACATGTGTTGGTGTTGGAAATTGACACGTATAGGACACCAGACACATATTCCATAAAAAGTGTCGGTGTTTCACCGAAACTAAGGAAGATATTTGGAGAATAAATAAAATATCACCTGCCCCCACTCCATGGATCCAAGAGGCCATTTGAGAAAATTATATTGCTTCCAAAATTCTTCAAAACTTTATGGATATTCTTCAAAAAACAAGATTTCCAAACATAAATATCAGGTAAAAGAAAGAAATATCACAGCAATGGAAATGGAAGTAAGGTTCAAGAATAAATATTCTCTTACATGCCCTCCAAATTCTGTAGTAATCCAATGTGGCCTTGGCTTCACTCCAAATTTCTTGAAGCAATCCTCCTCGAAAGCAGAGTAATTATACTCATATGGTGGATACATGCTGGACTCTTTGCTACAAGACATTGGCATAACCATTTCAGTACATGCCTACATCATCATGGACAAGAAAAGATGGAATGAACGAAAGATTAGTACAAGAACATATTGGTCAATGCATTTTATGCTATTGAGAATGAATACTTATCCAGAAACAAATGGAAAAACAACAGTTAACTATTGTAAACCTGCCACTCCCAACCACCCAGGCCATGAGGATCATCATCCAGTTCAAAACACTTAGCTTCTCCAGTATAATTGTAGTAGACATTCACTCCTTCATATATGCGTTCCAGAATACTAGTCCCAGCTGGGCCTCCATCTATCCTTCTGCAAACCTTTATAGGAATATACAATGATATTGATTAGCAAAGATAGTCGGGTTCCTTTACGGACTCGGGAAATGTATGGTAAAGCCAAACCACTAGCTTATAGCGTATAAGTTTGTATGGTTAATTGTTATTTGAAAACAATCTTCTCTCACGAGCTTATAGCGTTTTTTGAGATGCGAATTCAACTAGCATTTGAGTTTATAGCATGTCATAGTTTCTCTCATTTTTACTTTCATTATTTTAATTGAAGAAATTTAAATATTAATTAATAATATGTTCTTATATCCATTTGTGTTTAATATATATCAGTTAGGTTCGATGTTAAATTTACCAAATACTTCAAATTCAATCAATTAGTTGATCCGCTATAAGCTGAACTTTTCACCACCTGCTACTCTTTAAGAAATAGAGCATTAGAATAGGAAACAAACTGAAATGTGACTAGCACCATAAAAAAAACGAGAAGAAAACAACTTAAATTTGAATCAATGGTTAGGATGATTTCATCTTTGTAAGTTCTGTTAATTAGAATTTGCTTATAAGCGTTATTTAACTCTTTTAAATTTTGAATTTAAGATTTCTTTATCTTAATAAGATTCTGCATTACAGAATCATTATCAGTACTAGTTTTGATTTTTATTTCTTTATCTTGATAAAATTCCGTGTAAAAGAATTCTTATGACTAGTAGTTTTGATTTTAATTTCATTATCTTGATAAGATTCTGCATAACAAAACACTTAGTAGTTTGATTAGGACCACTTCATTGTTGGTAGCCTCTAATAAGGTAGTCTGGTATTGGAATAAACACGCAAGAAGTCATTTTATGAAAATAAAAACTGTGGTAGTCATTTATCAAGGTTTGTCAAGGACATATCCGCTTCCTGCTTTCACAAAAGATCAAAAGAAAGATTCTACCACACCTAGAGCAATGACTCAATATCACACAGTTCATGACACAAATTAATTCTTTTAACCAAGCTATAAGATCAACCATATTCCTAGAAACATCCATAGGTCAAGTCAATTTATCAGTAGCATCGTAAAAATCAGACAAGGAAGTTGCGATGAAATCAATCTAACCTCCTTGATAGGGTGTCCAGGCAAAGGCATCATAAACTCAGAAGGGTAAGGGTAGTTAACCATTGCCAAATAACTATATGCAGACTCCAACCAACCAAATAAATCTCCAGTGCTCTTCAATTTCCTACAAGCAATTTAACTAAATCAACACACTTGAAATAATATAGATATTATTACAATTCACAATCATGTAATGCATAAATAAAAACACAATTCTTAGAAAAAATGGCTTACTGACAAAAGTTGAATGTTTTGGTCAGAAAATCAAGGCCATCACTTGTTTGACCCTTAGATTCTATTTCATCCCATGACTGTTTTATATAGTTAAAGCAAGTGGAACTTTCGCGCTATTGATAAAAACAAAGAGACCTAAATTGTTAGTGCAATAAATTAATTTATAGCGTGTACATAATAGAACAATGAACGACGAAAACCTCACTTGCGGACTAACTAACCTTAAAACCATTGGAAACAATGTCATAGAAAGTTTCTAGTGGCACAATGTCTTCAAACTGAAGAATTGGAGCTGAAGATGCTAGTGCTCCAATAGCAATATGAGGATACTTGAGTCTCATCCATGCTGCTAACACTGTTTCATAGAATGTCTAGACAACTCAGAAATAAACCAACAAACCTTCATCAGCATAACACCTCATATTAAGTAGTAACTACCCTTATGAAAAATTTCCGGTTCTTATGAACATTTCACATTATCAATTCAAAACCATGATAATAATAACAGGATTTTTTGGATATGCAATTTTTGTTTCAATATTGAAATTTGCATTATAATTTATAATAATATTTTGTTCATAGATTTACAATATTTTCAAATAGTCTTTGAATGTATCAAAATTATAAAAACATACATCCATCATCAAATGTATTTATCAATACTTATCTCTGGATCAATTCTCCACATCCAGAATCAATTCTAAATGCTCTAACCATGAAACCAAACATACACTTAAGATGTTTGCGTAATTTCGAATCGAGACATTCATAGACTATAAGATACTCAATTTTACTCATAAATTTCAGTGTAAAAATCACATTTAGACTCAAAAGCTACAAATCCTAACTTCAAGTATATTCAGTTCTACCCGAGAACGACCAAACAAGTCAAAACCAATTCTACACATCCAGAATCAATTCTAAATACTCTAACCGTGAAACCAAACACACACTTAAGAAATTTTTGTAATTTTGATACATTCATAGACTATAATGACAGTGTTTCACACATTTAGAGATCAAAATAACAAGAAGAAGCAAAAGAATGTCTTACTTCCACCGTAGGATCCTCCAAACAAAACAACCGGACAACCATCGGCAGACAGATTATGCTTCAGATCAGTAATAAGAACAGCGAAATCAGCTATAGCTTGCTCAGCATTAAGAAACCCTAACATGGAAGCATTCTTATACGCTGCTTCTTTACTTCCAAAAGGAACAGACTCACCATAATACCGATGCTGCAAAACAGAAACCAAACCAATTAACTAACAGAGAGATACAGTTCTTACAGAGAGAATAGGTATAATCCTTACTTCAGGAAAAACAACCATAGCTCCAAACTGAGGCGCGATTTCCCATACAAATCCAGTATTCTGAGCGAACCAAACAATGTCACCTTCATTACCGCAGTAGAGGAAAATGGGACCTGATCCGGCGACCCAATTATCGGTGTTGATGAGGTAGCGTTGAGGAAATTTGGGGGATTTAGAGAAGGAGAAGTGGTCGAGTTGTTGTTGGAAGAATCTGGTTTCGTAGTGGAAATTAGATTGTTGATGTGAGTGAGAGTGGTTGTTGGTTGAAGATGCGAATTTGCCGAAGAATTGTGGTTTGTGCTTCAATGCTAGAGGTTGGTGTGAAGAAGAGATGAAGATGGTGAGAGTGAGAAGAAGTGAAGTGGTGAAACTGTTTCTTGCCATTTTTGGCATGTTTAGTCAAGGAAGGTCGGACTGGGAAATGGAAATGAGTTAGTTTGGTGGAGATTATCTTTTCAGTTATTTTTGAGGATTAATTAATTGAATTCAAAATTGGGTTAGAGGGTCGGGTTGACACTGATCAACCATTGGGCTTTCTTATTAGTTGGGCCTTGATGTTCATTTTGAGTCCAGTATCTTTTTTTCGAGGAATCTACCGGGCACTCCTATAGGTGAACTGACACCCACATAGTTTTTTAATGTCAAAATTATTCTTTTAATTGTTTATCTCTCTCAAATCTTAAAATTTATGCTTAAAATTATATATTTTTTAAAATCAGTAAAAAGTTAGAAAAAAAAGACGGTAATATTAACTAAAAATCGGGTAGGTTTAGTTACTGATTAAAAGAAAAACATTGATATTTTATCGATTTTTTGAAGATCTGGTGTGAGATTTTAACAGATATTTAAAAATATTTGGTGCGTATTTTAGTTTTGCCGTAAATTTCAAAATTTTAATTTATCAAATTTTTTTCACCCATAACAATTCCATAGTTATATCATATACTCTCCATGAATACATATGAGATGGATGATTCCGTTACAAATTTTACAGAGTTCTTCAACACTTACTTGATATGTTTTACTCCATGTTTTAAATAAACTTTTGAATTTTTTTATCAAGTTATGAAATCTATGACTAATTTATTACATGTTTTAATTGAAAGGTATTTCCCTCTCGGGTCGAAGTGTTATCATGGGCATAATTTATTTGGAGGCAACATGATATTAGTGTTGTTACCGTGTGTTATGCTATAACACATAAGCAATGAGGCGGGATCAGAAAACCGATTCTTGGTTGAGAGAGGGGAGGTAATTGCAAGAACCTCAAAAAGTCTGAAGTCATTTAGACTAGAAGAGTTAAACGTCTCCTTTAAGTTGAGATTTATGTTAAGCAGTTGTGGTTGGAACATAACGATTAGATGTGGTATTCACATCCATGATCTAGTTAAGAATTTAGAGGGTCATGATATATTAAATCACTTAAACTCAATGAAAGAAACTTTGTGAGTGAAATGACAAGTTACCACATGGCATCAAGGTCCATATTGGCTACATTGAAAGATAGAGATGTTGATAATCTAACAACTGTGCAACATGCCTATAAGGAAAGATCAACATACTGGTCTACTATTAGAAGTTCATTCACAAAAATACAACATTTGTTGACCCTAACTCATAATGAAAAGTACATGTATTGGCCCAAAAACAATAAGGAATCAAATGTTATTGCTAATATATCATGAACACATCCTGATTTTGTGAAGCTATTGAATATGTTTCATTTGGTTTTGATCTTTGACTACGTGTACAAAATCAATAGGTATCGACTCCCACTACTTGAGGTTGTTGGTGTTATGTCAAGTTGACTTTCTCTATTGGGTTGGCATGCTTAGAACATGAAAGAGAGACACATTTCACATGGGTACTGGAGAAGCTGAAGGACTCGTTTACATTTAAGAAGTTGCTTCCCAAAGTCATGCTAACTGATTGGAAACTTTCCATGATAAATTTCATTTAAGTTGTTTTCCCATCCTCATTCCACTTCTTATGTGTATTCCATGTTTCAAAAATTGTTGGTTCGCAATGCAAGAAGTATGTTGAGGCTAATAGGAAAGAGCATGCAATGGATATATGGAACAAAGTCATGTGTTCAAATAGGGTGTTTAAATTTAAGCAACAATTGCAGCATTTTGAGGTAGTATGTGCTAATATCCCTTCATTTCTTGATTATGTGAACCAAACATGATTAACACCCTATAAAGAAATGTTTGTTGCTGCATGAACTAATCAAGTCACTTACTTAGGGAACACGATAACAATAGGTACGTTTATTATGAGTTTAATATTATTACGCAAATTTTAATAATTTTATTTATTGAATTTTTCTCTAATGTTGTTTTATAGGGCATAGTATTCTCATTAGAGACTTAAAAACATGTTACATAATATTTGAAAAATTTGTGCAGGTGCTAGGATGTACCCCTAAAGCCTACACATAACGCATTTTTCTAAAAGTTATGTATCAAGATTTTTATGTTTAATGGAAATTTGAAAAAATCTGATATGCCCTATGCATATTTATCAGATATTATGAAAAAAACGGGTAAAATTTCATATGGTTGATACGGAATTTTTATAAAAATGCATACAAATACTTCGTATATACCAAAAATTCCTAAAAATATGATGTAATCCCATAAATTTGATATCGGGTGTTTCAAAAAATTGGTAAAAATGCATCATTTATATTAAAAATCCTATATTAAAACAAAATATGCGGTAAAAACTCATAAATTTCAAGGAAGAAGCTATTTTTAAAAATCTAGTAATTTCCAGCAAATCCTAGAGCCAAAACAATGTTTTTTTTTAAAAAAACTCTAAAATATGTGATTTTTGTTTGTGAAAAATTAAATTTTAGGATTTGTTCCGTGTTGGCCAAAGGCCTGAGAATTAACGTTTAACACCGACTAGAGGTCCCATATCACGAGGCCCATTATTTAACCTATTCCACCAAGCCTTAGGTATAAATACCCTCATAAAGGGTCTTCAGGTGTATAATTTCTAATATCCACTTTCATTACAGTTATCAAAACCCTAAACTGACTTGAGTGTTGGAGTGCTAACCTTGCAAGTACCCCATCCTTTGAACCACTATACTGGGGATCAACAATACCGATTCAAGATCGACACCGATCAAAGACATTGATTCAGGATCAACGCTTCCAATCCAAGAAGCATCGTGATTGCAACCTTTGATCCACAATCATATGGAAAAACCACTCACAGAGATTTGTTCCTCTGTAGCTTCCTCAATCTCTTCCATTTCTGGTTTCGCAAAGGAACAGTGGCACCGTCTGTGACAGTTGACTTTTGATTCACATGATTTCCATGATTCCATATTTGATTCTCATATATAAATCCAAAAGAGTCATAGGCAGAGAAATCAAAGCCTCAAGAAGCCAAAATCTCATACCTACGTTGTTTAGATCTTTTGAACCCTAATCGTTTGTATCGGTCCCAAACCACTGTAAAAAGACACCAGTGGAAGCCGTCATATCTACAATGTTTTGAACAATCGGGCTTAGTTTGGATTTAGGCCGGGTAGAAGCTTCAATCTCCTATCTCGACCAAAGTTCCCGGGTGAAGACATGGGAACCCGAATCTAGATATATATATCGTGTCTGAACGATGTTGATATAATACATTTTTGAAGAAAATGTCCACATGAATATTGCTTTAACTTACCCCAGTCAAGTGTCTCATCATCGTTAATGTCATGAGCCAACCATGATACCACCGTGGAGAATGAAGTTATGGAGTTGACCACTGACGGGTACAAGGTGACAAGAAAACTGGGTGCCAAATCATACAACGAGTCATGAAACTGGTGGGGAAAATGGAAGACCCCAACTTCAAACCACCAACATGCAAATGGCTATCCACTTTCGTCCAATAAGGAAAGGTATGTTGCACGGTCTTAAGAACAACTTCTAAATATGAAACACAAAAAGATGCTGACCCACCTCAACTCCAAAACGCAGAGCTAGACACACTCAATAGAGGTTAAATATCCCGCAAACCAGGGACCTGCTCCTCCTGGCTAGTTGACCATTAAACCCCCTGGATAACACGTCCAAGGACGAGCGATCAGTACACTTTTACGGTCGAGTGCAAGATATATATATATATATATATATATATATATATATATATATATATATATATATATATATATATATATATATATATATATATATATATATATATATATATATATATATATTGCTATTATGCTCTTGATGTACTGATTTCTGCTTTGTCCCTTCTCCAGGGCACCAAAACATGAATGCACCCTGCAACAAATCAGGATACAACCAATGTTATTGACGTCCAACTCCAGATTTCAGGGGTGTTATTGGAGACACTTTACCCGTATGACCCAAGCAATAAAAAACTCTTAGTGCCTTGTGCACCTAAAGATTCCATGGGTGCTGTTGGAGACCTTTTGCCCGTCCAACCCAAGCCATTAAAACCCCTTAGTACCATGCATACCTAAATATTCTAGGGGTCCTGTCAGAGACTATTTTCTCGTCCAACTAAAGCAAGCAACCCCCTTAGCGCAAAAAGTGCCTTGGAAGTCCATGGGTGTTGTTGGAGACGTTTTTCATGTTCGAATACAACAATCAATTCCGCATAGCACCTTGGGTGTCTTCAAATTTCAGGGTGACTATCGGAGATGATTTGTACCTCAGACTATATCAACCAATTCCCATAGGGGTACTATCGAAGACAATTTGCACGTCCGAATACATCATTCAAATACCCTCGTCAAAGATATAAATACATTTACGCGTATATGGCAGATCCTTTTCGAGTCTATCCAATCAAAGGGAGAGAGTGGTGGAGCTTAGAAACGCCCACCTTAAACCGAGCTTTTACCTTAGGGGTAGGGACGAGGATCCTCTACTCTTAGTCGGGTATGGTCTCATGTGATGCATATCGCAACTCAAAAAATAGGGTCCTATCTAGCCGCTTTCATGTCCATCGTTTGTAAGTACAATTCTAAACATAACCACACTTGACCAGACTCATGCCTTACTCATCTAAAACATTATTAATACATAACCGCATCTAATTTATTATGCGCAAAATACTTACATGTGCAATTTAAGGCATAAGCGGCTGAAACCAAGCTCACATTTAATCCCTTTAATCCAATATATGTACATGCAAATATGTTCCAATGATTCATATGTGCTAGCACACTCGAATAACAGTCGCACTTGATTCGCTAGGAATTCTGCCAAAAAACTGTGTGCATATTAATGCAACACACTCTCAAATAAAGTTGCCCCACACGACTTTGAAAAATACTTAAGGTTATTTACACTTTAAGTAAACAATATTTCTTGCTTTCTACAACAAACATATTATGCATATTGTAGGGCTAA